TGTGAAAATAGTAAATGTGGTGATGAATGTTGTTAGCTTGCCAGGATCTGGAATCTCGTCTGTGTGGGAATTTCTTGACTGGGTGAACTGGGGTGTAAGAAGCCTGCCCTCAATGTAGATGGCATGACTTTGTGGGCTGAGTGTCCTGACTGCATAAAATGGAGAAAACACGAGAAGCATCAGTGGACATGCACCTCTCTCTGCTTTCTGACTGTGGGCCCCAGGTGACTAGGCACCCCTTCCTCACCGCCGTGGACTGGACCTCCTCCAACTGAGAGCCAAAGGCAGCCCTTCCACCCTCCAGTTGTTTTTGTCGGGTCAAGATCACAGCGGTGAGAAAAGAAACTAACACACTTGTGAGTGAGATAAAGGAAGGAGAAGGGGAAGGGGGAAGTGAAGCAGAAACAAGAGAGGAGAAACAAGGCCCGTGGAGAATGTTAGAGCCAACAAACAGACAAACAATAATCGCCCCCCCCAAAAAAACAAACAAGACTTTATATTAAAAAAAAAAACTTTAAAAGAAACATAAAGGAAAAACAGAAAACATTTCCCAGTAATTAAAAAGTTCAAAACCAAAATTAGATAAATGTAAAGAGGAACAAAACATAAAAACTATATTAAATAAAAAGTAAAAAGATACAGCCGGGTGGTGGTGCTGCACACCTATACTCCCGGCACTCAGGAGGCAGAGGCAGGTGGATCTCTGTGAGTTTGAGGCCAGCCTGGGCTACAGAGTGAGTTCCAGGACAGGCAGGACTATCAACTCTGTTAAAAAAAAAAAAAGGACAACCAACAATATGGTAACATGAAAACACTACCTAATGCTGAGACGAGGGACACAGGTGCAACAAAACTAACAGAGAGAACTCTGGAACCGGTCATAGCTACACGTCTGTAAACCCAGCAAACGGGACGGGGAGGCAGGAAGAGCAGGAGCTCAAGACTAGCATGGGCTTTCAGACAAAACAAAGAAAAAGAAAAACAAATTTTCCCCACTGGAGAGATGGCTCAGTGGTTAAGAGCACTTGTAATTCTTGCAGGAGACCCGGGTTGTGTTCCCAGGATCCACACAGCAGTTCACAACTGTTTGTAACTCCAGTTCCAGGGGATCCAGACCTTCTGGCCTCTGCAGGTACCATGCATGCACACAGTGCACTTATACATATATTCGGGTAAAATACTCATACAGATAAATTAAAAATAAGTCTTTCCCAAATGTAAAAGATGCATAAATAAAATCAGATGAATATATGAAGAAAAAATCACAAATATAAAGCAAAAATTTTTAAAATTCTGCTAAATGTAGAAAAGTCACAGAAAAAGGGAAAAAAAAAGCAACCTCTTTCCAGGTCCTCAAAACCTGAGAGACCTCGGGCTGAGAGATGCTCACTGGTTAAGAGCACATACTGGTCTTGCAGAGTACCCGAGTTAGTATCAGCACCTGCATCATTGGGCAGCTAACAACTACATCTAATTCCTGCTCTTGGGGTGCCTGATGCTTCTGGACTCCAAAGGAACCACCACTTCCTGTGCACATACCCACACACATACACATAATTTAAAACCTCTAAAAAATAAAAAGTTCAGAAAAAAAAATTAAAGATTGTCAGTGTATGTAGGGTGGGGAGGGGCTGTCAGTTGAACTGGAGACTGGTCTTTCCTATGGCTTGTGATGTTGCTGAATCTCTATTGGTTAAGTGTCTGAGGTCTCCCAGACCTGTCTTTCAACGTGGTTGTTTTCCTTTTGTGAAACAGGAACGCCTGCTGGTCAAGTTTTACATTCTGTGGACTGGGCAGGCTTTCTACTCTGCCGTGACTCTCTAAACCACATCGATGGGGTGACTAGTGTTTTAGCTGAGTGGTGTCTGCTAAGTGCAATGGGGGTATGAGAAGCAGAGACTGGTACAGCCTGAGGCCCTGTCTTACTACTTTCAAGGCCTCCTGAATACTAATCACCCTGCTGAAGGGATACAGTTGAGGGCATCTCACATCCCTTGGAACTCCAGCTTCTCAAGCATAAACAGTAGTGAGTCATGGACAGGTGACTTTAGAATTCGATCTACCCACAGTCTCAGGCCCCCATCACAGTTTCTCTGAGAACAACATGCTGCCACCTGCATCCTTTGGTTTTCCAGTGACCGGCTCTTCTGCCCTCCACAACTGCATCTCTGGACCTCCCTTTATCTGGGGGCTGTGACAGGTCAAACTGAGGCTCTGTAGATGCTCCCTGATCTCAGGTCCCCAGGTAGCTGTCTTTAAAAATTGATTCTCCTTTAAGATTGCTTCTGGCTGCTGCCCTCTGAGTCATACATCGTGACAAAATGGGATTTCTCTATGCTGTTGAATTTTCCACAGGGGTAATTACTGTGGCATCAACCTCACAACTGGATTTAAGGCTTCTGAGGGTTGTAGGCTTATCCTGGGTATAGGACTGCCTGGCTTCCATCTGTCTTACCATTTGGAAGTGGCTTCTATTTTGCCTCCCCTTCTCTGCCAGGGAACTGTATGGCTGAGGCTGAGCTTGGCTTCTGTGTCACAGACACATACAATTTTTATTTTCTAATCCCTTCCTTTCACTTTTGTAGATTTCTGAAGCTCTTCCTCTCTCTCTGTTTGGGATAAAATCTGTTTTTCATTCTGACTCTCTCCTTCACAGGCTCACACAGAGGCATCCTCCAACTTCCCATTTATCCATAAGTCTCATGCAGAGAAGGTAGGGTTCCAGTATGCAGCTATGCAGATCTACAAGTGACCCCCAAACTTGGGATAATCCAAAACTTTATTGGCTGCCATTGACTTTTCTCTTCTCCAGTGAGACACTGAGTACAGAGATAACACTAAGCAATTGGAGGCATCGGGAGAGATGGCCCAGCGGTTAAGAGCATTGTTGCTCTTGCAAAGGCTTCTGGTTTGGTTCCCAGCACTCATATGACAGCTCACAACCACCTGTAACTCCAGTTCCAGAGGACACCACACCCTTTTCTGACCTCTAGAGGCATCAGCCACACATATGGTAAACATTCATGCAGGTATACACTCATACACATGTAATAAATATAAATCTTTGAAAAAAAAGTTATGTACCTAAATTGGTGGCAGTGTGCTTCCCTACCACAGAAGACTGATTGATTTTTGTTCACAGGCAACTCTAATGTAGGTTTGGGGTATGATTTTAGTTACTTTTTCCATTGTTGTGGCTGGTACAAAATATCCAACAAATGCAACTTAAGGAAGAGGGTATTTTGGTTCACAGCTGGAGGGTATAGTCCATCATGGAAGCCCAGGCATTGCGGTGGGAGTGTAAGGCAATGGTCACATTGAGTTCATAGTGAGGAAGCAGAGGGAGATGAATCTAAAAGATGACTTAAATGTGACAGCTGGATTTGCCGACATGTACCACTACATAGTGAGTTCGAGGCCAGTCTGATCTACCCTGTCTCAAAAAGGGTCTTGAATTCCTGATCTTCCTGAGAGCTGGATTTGCTGACATATACCACTATGCCTGGCTGAATTTGTCTTTCTGACCTCTAGGACTGTAAGATAATGCATGTTGGTTTAAATTTATAAGTTGTTACAATAGCAACAAGAAATATATGGACTAGGCATGGGTCAGTTATTGAATTATGGTTATGATTAATGTAGTTCTATCCCTAGGTACAACACCCCACCCCCGACCCTAGACAGAGTTTCTCTGTGTAACAGCCTTGGCTGTCCTGGAACTCACTATGTAGACCAGCCTGGTCTTGAACTCACAAAAATTCCCCTACCTCTGCCTCCCCCAGTGCTGAGATCAAAGGGGTGTGCCATCACGTTCCGCTTCAACGTTTTTTAAAAAAAGATAAAACCTCTGAATGGCTCTTCATTGCCGGTCAGCTAAAGCTCTGAGTCCTCAGTCCAACAGATTCTTGATGTGATTCTACCTCCCCCCCCCCCCTTTTTTTCTTTTTGAGATAGGGTTTCTCTAGGTAGTCCTGGAATTCACTCTGTAGACTAGGCTGGCCTCACCGAGATCCGCCTGCGTCTGCCCCACGGGGTGCCGGGATTAAAGGCGTGTGCCACCACCGCCCACCACCGCCCGGCTCTACCTCCTCTCTTGCCCTAGTAACTCAAGACTAGCACTCCATATCCAATACCTCATCCAGACCATGTTTTAGCACAGGTCTCAGGCTCTGAGCCTCTTTGCTGTTTTCACTGATTATTAGTTTTTGATGAGATCTTGGTATGTAATTCCAGGATGGCCTTAAATCCATTATCCTCCTGCTCAGCAGTACTGTGCGCCACCACGCGATTTTTTTAGTTTTAACTAGGAGTTTGAAAGGGAGGTAGAGGCACAAGTCATTTTCATGAGGGATTGCTCTTTTCCCCCTTACCCACTAATCCGATGATATAATGGGTAGCGATCCCTCTGGAATTTGTAAAGCAAGTTACAAGAGGTGTACCTAAACTAGAAAGGCCTATCTTGCAGGAAAACATGCTCAAAGACGAGGCTGGCTCTGGTGCAGCCCGATGTCCACCACAGTCCCCCTGGGTCCAGTTCAGAGTTGCCTCTCTCCTGCCCGTCGCGTGAGACGGCGGTTGCTGAACACGGACCATTAGTTCTGAGGCCGGCGTTGCCTGACTGGGGAACCACGCGGACCCATCACACCTCCTGCTCCGCAGTTGAAGAAACCGCTCTGGGGCTGGACGGAGGCGGAGCAGAAGCTCACACTGGGCCAACAGAAGAGCCTTAAGATGCTAAAAGCGGTCCTAGGGCGGTCCCCGGCGCGAGGCACTCTGGGATTTGTAGTTTTCTTCCCGGACAGCTCCTCTCTCTTTTCGGCCGCCCGCCTTTTAATCCTCGCTCTCTCCCGGCACACCGACTGCTTTATCAAGGCACTTCCTCACCTACGACTACACTACCCAGAAATCTCTCCTTCGCGCTCGGGCAGGCGCTCGGTCTTCCTTGGACTACAGTTCCCAGAAGGCCACTGGCGAAGGGCTTCCCCCGCTTTCCCGGGACCACAATTCCCAGAGACTTGACTTCGCGGCTTTTCTCTCTGTGTTCTGTCTCTCTTGGAGCTGGCTAGGCCAGTAGGCCCACAGCGACGACGTGGTCTGTGGTGTCCAGTGTCAGGGTGTACTCTTCTGCGAGTTTTCTGTTCTTTCAGCCACTTTTGACGGACAGGCCGTCGCAGCTGGCCTGAGCAGTGACCTGGCGGGCCGCGCCTGCGCCCTGCCGCGTTTCCTGCCTGGCTGGTGGCGGCGGCCATTTTGTTCGTTCTCCTCCTCCTCCTGCTCCTCCTGGTTGGAGCTCAGTGTCCGGAGCGGGCTGGGGGGAGCGGACCGGAGAGCTGGGTTCGGTACCTTTTCCTCTGTCCCCAGCCGGAGCCCGGAGCCCCCCTCCCCTTCCTTCCCACCCCCTCCCCTCCCCAACCCTGCCCTCCCCCTTGTCCCGGGATCACTCCGTCGCACCCACCATGATGGAAGACGACGGACAGCCCCGGACTCTGTGAGTACCCGAGACCGGGGGTGCCAGGCACCGAGCTGCCCGGGCACGCGGGATGCTGAGGGAGGGAGCGGGAGACTGGGACCCGGAGCCGGGAGCCCGGCATTGAGGTGGCGCGCTGCGAAGTGCATTCCTCGTCTGTCCCCCTTTCCTAGAGAAGGAAGCCCTCCCTTCCCCCCGAACATAGTTAACTTCGTAAGGTCTAGGGCTCGACGCGACCTTTCCCTCCCGAACCCTTCTTTCCACACTCTTCCTAGACTGGGCTTGTGCACGGCTGAGGCTGTCAGACCCGGGAGAGCTCGGGTTCTCCCGGTGCGGCTTTGGGGGCTCCGGGCTGAGCCGGGAGCTGTGGGTCTCTACGGGGGCAGGGCTTGGCGGGGGTGGGACCTCTGCTGCATCCTTTGGCTTAAGCACTCAGACTCAGTCCACGTCCTCCGCCGTCCACGTCCTCAGCTTCAGTCGCTCCGGGTCCTTTTCCCTAGCCTACAACTCTTGAACCAGAGGAGCCCCTTGTCCCTTTCTGCCCCACGTGCCCCACGCTGTCAGAAACACTCGCTCAGCGCCCTCTGCTTTTGAAATGCCAAAGAGATTGCTTTTTGCCGCCGTGCACCACCTCTGTCCCTTGGATAACGAAGTTTACTTTGAGCGCTCACTACGCCAAACTGACAACCAGTTAAACTCCTTTCGCTCAGTTGGTGATGCCGCTTCCTAATCGGTTTGTGCGTCAGGACCATCAGAGTTCGATAAAAGGATGTCTTCTCCCGCTATTTGATGCGTGTCTTTTGGGTGCCTTTTTTTTCTTTCCCGCGGTCTAGCTGTTGTATTTCACCTGATGCCCAATCTAATGAATGAATTGCATCTTCCAACCGCTTAATTGGCGTTTCCCTTCCTTTCCCAATGCAGAATGATGACTCAGCGTCTGTATTCCTTTCCAAATAGTGTGGCACTCTTTTTTTTTTTTTTTCCTTCGTCTGAGTAATTTCCAATTCATTGTTTAAAGTGAGCACCTTGGGTTTTCCCAGCCGCTCCAGGCCTACTACTCCTGCCTGGAGTAAGTACATACACAGTCAGCCTGCTGCATTGTCTCTCTTGCCTCGCTCTGCCTGGTATTGATTGATATGATGATCAGAGTCCACTTGGCTGGGTTAGCTGATGGGGAAAGTACTTTTTGGGGAATGGACGACGGTGAACGGACACTAAGGACCTCTGACTAGCTTCTCAGAGCTTCATTCTTACCACAGAGAATATGTTCAGTAAATAGTCAATGTTGACTACCTCCCCACTCCCCACCCCCATTTTTTAAACATCGTTTATACTTTCCATTCTTATTTCTCTTAACATGTTGTTTGAAAATTTTGAAAAACATCCTAAACATATCATACCCCTGAATGAAAAATTTGGTAGTAAAATTTGTGTGTGTGTGTGTGTGTGTGTGTGTGTGTGTGTGTGTTTTCATTTCTGTCTTCCCAGAAAAAAAGATAATTGAGACAAAACTTGAAATTTGTTCTTCAACGTTTGTTTAAGCCAAGGCTTGGTATTTAATAGTTAGCAGTGTGTAATTAGATAGAAGCAGCTGAGAAAGCTAGACTTAAGGCCTAGCAAGCCTACGTTCAAGGAAGATGGCAGTTACATTGTATCTAAAATACCTGACATGTCATCACTGCGTCATAAAAGCTACTGGATAATTGGTAAATTCTCATGTCTCATTTACTGCATCTATTTGTTCCTTAGGGGTTTCTTAGCATGTGTCTGTTACATAGTATGCCTTTTCCCCCTTTTATTTCTGTAAATTGTCTTTGCATCCACTGTCAGATCTTCTCTTGACCAGAGCTAAATTTTATTATTTCATACATTTACCATCTTGGATCTTTTGGGGTTTTTGTTGTTGTTGTTTTTGTTTTTTGTTTTCTCTAAAACACACTGCAGGTGTCTGTGTTTGGTATCTCAATCTGTGATGTGTACATATGAGTGAATAAACATCTTAAGCTCTGTTGTTCCTGTATGTCAGTATGTGTTTATTATATCTTCCTTTTCCCACTTTTCTCCATGGGAAGTCGTGGTTGGGTTTTGTTTTGTTATTAAATACAAGGACTATTGCTCCCTAGGTCGTAACCCTTCCTGCACTTAGTTCACTCCTTGGACCATAAGAGGTACTCAATAAGTATTTTCAAGTTGTACTTCTTTGGTTAAATTAGTGTTTGGTTAAATTAGTGTTAAGCATTATTTTTTCAAAGTTCTGATTGACTTAAATTATAGGCGGACATTGTCATACTTATTGAAGTTTGATGATATCAATGATATCAATTAGTGTGTAAACCTAATGTAAAGTCTTGACATCAAAGCAAATGTTTAATAGGATTTGATTTTGTGTATGAAGAGCCTATATTTTGCATTGTGATCTATGGATTAGGTTTCTCAAGTGGCTATTATGTTTTAAAACAATGTACTCTAAATAAAGTTTTATCTTAACGTGTTTACTTTAAAATGCCTGTGTGTTACTAGTAAGGTTTTCTTCCTGCAGACACACACAAGCTAAGACATATGGTTCTATCTTCAGAAAACAATATGGTGTTTATAGCCTAGGTAGGTCTTTAAATATTCATTATCTACAGTATTACTAATTTATTTGATGATATTTAAAGTGGTATAGAATTGCCTTGATGTTGAGTCTGAAATCTTATTTGCCATATACTTGCTTTAAAGGTCTGTTTTCTGATGTTCCTCATTTTCATTTGGTATTTATTTTGAGGTATTATGTAGTTAGTGATCTTAAAACCAAACAATGAGATGACAATATGTGATACTGGTGTTTGAAGTGGACTAGCCTCCTTGTAGGACATGTTTCAGTCTTGGGTTGTGTCTTTGCAGTGCAGTGATTTCATCTGTGGTATCTGAGCCCACAGTGTGTCACTAAATTATTATAGCGATCAATTGTAGTTTATTTGGTGTACAAAAACCCTAGAAATTGTGTGACTAGGATAAAACCATACTATTCAATGCCATCCTTTAAGGCTAATTATTCTTCCTTGATACTCAGTAACAAGGAGGAACTAAACCTTTGATTTAGAGTGTATTCTGAACATCTGTGAACAAAGCAGAAGAAAACAATATAAGATCTCATAGACTTGCCTGCACCATTGATTTAGCTATATTGTGGCTATAATCAAGCTGGTTCAACTTGGTCATCTTTGTTTCTTTAAAGCTTGTATGGGTCCATCCTTTAGAGGTCCTTGATCAGGTTAGTTACCCTACGCTATGGTGCCTTTCTTCAACTTTACCTCCTTCCTAAAATCAAGTAGTGACAGCTTGTACAGTCCTTTAGAGGGCTATTGAGGGTTATTGTTGAATATCTCCTTTTGTATAGGAACTTGTTAAGAATAATTGAAAAACTACAACTACCTTTATGGAAATTTAGCCCTACAGTATTTTGTATAAAAGTGCTGGTAATTTCAGCCTTGGTGGGGTTACTTTTTAGAGTGAGAGCACGTTCAGTGGAAAAGCTGTCATTAGCTTTCTGCAGGGCATGGTGTTCTTAATTTCTGCCCAGTTGGACATAGGAAGTAGTTCACTGGCAATGTGAACTTCTGCCTGCTGTGAAACTGCCAAGTTTTCTAGTCTCCATTGGATCTTAGACCCAATGTTAGGGATAAAGATATCATTTTCAGTTATTAATGTTTCAGTTCCTACAGTTCCTGTTCTTAGAAGACAAAATAGACTGTAAGGTATGCATTTTCCTTATTTTTTCCTTGAGTTAATCATTTTGGGATTTTTTAAGTGTTTTCTGTTACTATAAGAACTTAAGCTGTTTGTCTTCATCTGTGTTTTGTACATATTCTTTGGGTAAAAATTGCATATTTAAAAACTTGGAACTTTAGAATATACTTACTACTAAGCTGCAGCAGAAGGTGAAGTATAGAAAATATTGTTTGAAAGAAACAGATATCAAATTCAGTAAGCTACAAAAGATGATGCTTCCTAGGTTCAGTGTTGAATTTTGTCTTAAATACCTTTGTTAGAATTATTCTGGGGTGGGTTATGTTTTGATAATGTAAAAGGCACAATATACTACAGTATTTTTGAGAATATAAATTATGCCACTGTTAGATACATAAATTACAGAACCTTGAGTAGAAAAGCCAGTCTAAAATTAGATAAATGTAGGTGAAATTATATACTGAATTGTATCTTTTTCATCTTGACAAACTAAGATGTTCTCTGTGTTACAGAAGGCTTTGTATGTTTTTACAATTTAGTCTGCTGCTTTACGGGTTAACTCTTAGAAGTACTTGAAAAATAGGATATCTTAGCACTGGACTTTTTTATGAATATTTCATGGCATTCTAAACTGGAATGTTAACAGTTTTTAATCTTTGACAGTGCTGGATATGGAAATTAATTATAGACATCAATGTGCCTCTGGAACCTGGGAGTTCCCTGACTGATTGGAAATGGGTTGACTTAGAGTGAAAGTCTTGTTAAAAACAAAAACAGCTTTATTGTGACTTAGCTAAAACATCAACACAAACTTAAAACTGTTTAAATCATCGAAATTTTGCTATAGTAAAATGATGTTCTATTGTTTATTTTTGTTACTGGCTAGCTTCACTTTAAAAATCACTGTTTTCCCTTGCCTCTGCAGACTAGTCTGGGCAGATGAACCAAGTGTTTAGAAAATCAAGATCACTTGCTCATTTTCTTTATCCTGGGTCTCTTACAAAAGGAAGTTATTCCATGGTTACAGGCTCATAAAGTCCCTGTGAGTGAAAAGGGGCAAACAGTTATTTATGGCTAATTCATAATCCTTTAACTATTTGCTACTGCTGGAAAAAGAATTACTGTATGGCCTACAGTGGGTCAGCTCCATTTAATTATAAGGAAAGATGGCATACTAGACCTAAACCAGTTTGTCAGCTGGCTTATTCTTTTATTTCAGTAGCACTGGACTTGTATTTCAACCTTAGAACATGTATCCTGAGGTTATTGGTAATCACTGCTGTGATGTTCTTACCTAAGCTGGGAAGTTGCTACTCATTTTTTTTCCTGTTTTTTTTTTTTATTTTTTATTTTTAATTTTGTGTGTATGTGTGTGTGTGTCCCTGTGTGCATTACATGTGTATACATGTGGGTACACAGGTGCTGGAGGAGGCTAGAAGATGATGTTGGATCCCCTGGAACTGGAGTTACAGTCAGTTGTGAGCTGCCATACCTGGGTGCTGGGAACTGAACTGTGTCCTCTACACGAACAGCAAGCATGCTCTCAGTGGCTGGGCCACCTCTCTAGCCCCAGTTCCTACCCATTCTTAACCATTCATTTTAGGTTTTTCTTAAACCTTAACTTTGTCCAGCCCTTCTTCTTTTAGCATGTTTCATTTGAAAGCTTTGTGTGTATTTAACGGGGCAACTGTTGCGAGCCTTATTTGGTCTCAGCACTGTTTCTTGATGTTATATTGTGGTCAGAAAAGTAAAATGGTGTCCTTTTACTTCCCAGAAGAAACTGTGTCACATTTTACAAGTAATGTTTTGGCTTATGAAGTGGTTCATGAGAAATGAACATTTAAGGTGTTATTTGTTGAGAATCAGAAAGACTTTGGCAACTTATTGAGATAAGTTAAATCCATAGTGTAAGATATAAATCAAGTTGTATAAGACATAAACCAAGGTGGTCATCTCTTGGGGGTTAGGTGGTGATTTTTCTTTTTTCTCATTAAAATTTTTAATCAGGGAAAAAAAAACCCTCAAACCTTTAAATATTCAGTCAAAAGTATATTTGGGTCTGTCTTAATTTTTCTCTGAATTTCTAAAGAACTCTTCTTGAATTTCTTTTGTTTGTTATCTAAAGATGGTTTTGTTGATGCTGATAGGAAGTTTCAATTATTCAGTTCCATTGTTCTTAAAGCAGTGAAGATGTACCATCACTAACAGTCTTCTTTAGCCCAAACTGGAGCAGACCCTAGCTCCTCCACCCCACCCACCCTCTGCTTTGCTAGGACAACTTGACTCTCATTCTCTTCTTTGATCATGTCATTGTTTTGGTTGGCAGTGTTAAGATGAGCCCACTAACAACTACTGTCTAGTATTAATTCATCATCAAGATGTTTCAGTATTCAGTATTATATTTATATTACAAATGATTCTGAAGTTGAAAATATAGCTATCATAGGCTTAACTGGAAAAAATTTATCATAGATAGGAACTTGAAGTAAAAGATAATGAATTAAATAAACACATTAGAGCTGTAACTAAAGAAACATTGCTGATAATTTTTTTTTTTCTCTCTCTCTCTCTCATTTAGATACGTAGGTAACCTCTCCAGAGATGTGACAGAAGTCCTTATACTCCAGTTATTCAGTCAGATCGGACCCTGTAAAAGCTGTAAAATGATAACAGAGGTAAGATCTTCGGTTAGGAGTGTCCTCCGCTGCCTGATGTTGAACATTTGTAGATGATACACGAGTTGATTGACACCATTTAAAACTTCATTTTAATTTAAGCCTCAAATTATTCTGTGGGAGAAATTTATGTTTGTGGTATTGACTTAATCCGTTGATTTGGCCAGTAAGCTAGTTGAGGAGGCAAAGACCCTGCGTGGTTATTGCATAGTCCTTCATGTAGTTAACGTCAGGTGATCTGCTTGTAAATAGCCATCTGGGAAAGATGTAAGATGATGGTGTTTCACATACTCCAGTGCAAATACTGAGAACTCAGTCTGCATTTCAAGTTCAGGGACTGGTAAGTGTTGAAGTCAACATTCGGTTATTATGTGCACAGGGGAGCAGCATGCCTCTTATGTGTCTTTAGTAAATACTAAGGTCTGAACAACATAGGAATTTAAACTGTTATAATCATTTTATTTGGGCTAGGGATGTAGCTCAGTGGTAGAATATGTACTTGTAATATGAAAGGCCCTGGGTTCAACCCCTGGGTACCAAAATAAAATCCAAAAGGTTTGTCTTATTTTCAAAGAAAAATTTTTACTTTGCTCAGTTAAGACTCTAGTTGTACCTAGTGATGCATGTGTCAGTTACTCTTTTCTTCCTTTCTGCTTATTTATCAAATTTTTTTGACTATTGTGTACTAGATACTATGGTAAGTGCTAAGAATCCAGTGATGAATAAGAGAGTTCCTGACCCCATAAGATTTTACAGGCTTGTAGGAGACTGAAGTCAACACTCACGTAGGATATAGACTTAAGTGCTAGGGATCAGATAGCTTAAGCTGCTGTGGGACCATGAGGAGAATATCCATTGTGGTTGTGGGTCAGGGGAAGTAGCTACTAGGGGTCAGAGCACAGACTAAAGGATAGTGGATACTCTCCTGTAGTGGAGTCTGAGGAAGAAGGATTTGGAGAGAAGAATGTTGATGGATCCTATGGCAGAACAGGAGTGTCTGTGAAAAAGAAAAACCAGACATCTGTTTCCTGTTAGAATTGTATTCAGTAGATGCATAGGTGGAATTAGTCAGAGAGATGCCAGTAGGTGATGAAGCAAGAGTGTTTGAAACCGTTGTTCTAGTATTTGAAACTGGTGTTCTAGTGTAGAACTGTAGAAATCTGTCAAAAGCATTGACCTTTCTAACTTTCTATGATAGTTACCTTTTATTCTGGTATGTATTGTCCCTTCTTTTCATTCCTAACTTTGATTGTACATTTATTCTTTCATTAATGGGAAATACATTTTTCATGGGCACTATTGAAGGCACTGTGAACATAATGGAGAAGCAAATGAAGTTCCAGAAGAATAGAGATAAGAGCCATGGAGAGAATAAGTGTTCTATGATGACCAAGTGGCCGATGAGGCTAAGGCCACATGTAAGGGAAGATGTCACTTCTCTTAGTCTAGGCAGGAATATCAAGATGGTACCATCTGTGTTAAAGACTGGAACAGAGGAAAAGCAAATAGCAAAGGCTTTACCTTGGTACAGAGGGTGACTGGAGTCAAGTGGGTGGTAAAGGGTAGTGGTGGGGACGGAGTCTAACAAGGTAGATAAGAATCACAGTAACATAGGACATTGTGGGCCATGACAGAGTTGAGATTGGAATGTCACAACATTGGAGAGATTTAGCCAGGGAGAAGACAGGGTTTAATTTTGTTTTGCTTTGATTTGTTTTTTGTTTAGTTTTGTTTTCTCGAGACAAGGTGTTGATGTGTAGCTTTGGAGCCTGTCCTGGATCTCATCCTGTAGACTAGGCTGGCCTTGAACTCACAGAGATCCGCCTGGCTCTGCCTCCCGAGTGCTGGGATTAAAGGTGTGCGCTACCACTGCCTGGCGTTTAATTTGTATTTTTAAAATAGTTTTGTGTGGAGGATTGTAGGGTACAAGAGCAGTGGAAAAACCAGGCAGATTTATTGTGCTGGTCTATGTAGAGATGATAGATTGTTGACTTTGAGTGGTGGTGAAGAAAGACAGTAGGGAAATTGAGAGTTTCTATTTTGGAGGTGAGAGCAATAGGAGTAGAATGTCTATAGGAGTCAGGGGGGAGTCAAGATTCTTGTCAGTGCAGTTGTGCGGGTGTTAACATGCTACTTGCTAAAATGGGAATGACTGAGAAAGGCACAGGATGGCTGGGGGAGTGGTGGCAGTCAAGATTTCTGCTTTGGCAGTGTTAAATTTAAGATACACTTTGGCTATACAAATGGAGGCAGTTGGAAATGAGTTTGGAATTGTGGAGAGACCAGTGCTGAAGTGCACAGTAATTTAAAGCCATAGTACTAGGTAAAATCCCTAGAGAGAGATGGTGGAAGAGAGCAGGGGCCTGAGGTCTGAGGCCTGCAGCTTGGAACAGCTCAGCATTCAAGAGTTCCGGTCAGAGTTAAGGAGGGACAAACAGCCTTCTGAAACATCCTCCAGTGAGGAAGTGGGGGCACCAGATATGGTGTGGCACCAACGGAAGAGAACGTTTGTAGGAGGGAGGATGGTTGTCAGCTATTTTGGATGTGGAAGAGCAGAAAAGAGATGAGGCGGTGGAGAGTCACTGGTGAGTTAATGCACAGGCTCAGTGACTGGGTTGGCTGGGATGGCAATGGACTTGAGTGACTTCAAGGATGCAGAGGATGGAGGAAGTGGAAAGAGTCTCTAGAACTTTTTTGAGAGACATTTGATAAATATTTAACAAATATTTTAAAAGTCTGTGTATACAGACATTTAAGGAATAGAACTCTTTACAGCTTAACCATGTCTTACAGTTCCTAGATTTGAACTTGTAAATAGTTTAAAAATCTCTTGTTTTTCTGTTTTGACATTTATGTCATCCAACAATGGTGACCAGACTAATTAAGGTAAGGACTCAACTGATTGTTAGAGTGTTGCTTGGCAGTGGTCTAGGTAGGACATTTCTAAAGGACATGAACTGTAGGAAGGAATACCTAACATCTGGACAGCTTCCTTTATAAACTTGATTTTGTTATATAAGGAATCCTGTTCTTAACCGAGTGGTGGTGGCACACACTTGGGGGCAGAGGCAGGAGGATCTCTGGGTTTGAGGCCAACCTGGCCTAACAAGCGAGTTCCAGGACAGTCAGGGCTACATACAGAGAAACCCTGCCTCAAAAAACCAAATAAATAAATAAATCCCACAAAAAGAATCCTGTTCTTTGTTTTATGATTTCTTTTTATTTAGTCTTTATTGTTGAAATGGGTCTTGCTACGTAGCCCTGAAACTTACCATGCTGTCCTTGAATATGATATCCTTGAGTGCTGCGGTTGCAGGCCTGGGCGGCCACATCCACCTGTTTTGATTTTTTTTTTTTAATTTATTAGATGTTATCATAGATTCTAGTTTTCATAATATAACAATATACAATATATATGTATATATACATATAAAATCTCTAATGTTAAGACAAAGGGGTTTTTTTTGTTTTTTCAAAACAGGGTTTCTCTGTGTAACAGTCCTGGCTGTCCTGGAACTCACTTTGTAGACCAGGCTGGCCTTGAACTCACTGAGATCCACCTGCCTCTGCCTCCCCAGTGCTGGGATTAAAGGTTGTGCACCACCACCGCCCAGCAACATTAAAGGTTTTAACATCTGACAGTTCAGTTGGGGTTTGACTTAAGTTTTAAAACATGGATCAAACAATGTGATATAAATATTTAAATACAGTAGTCTTCCCTTACCTCTGATCAACTTCAGTTCAAAATGGAAATGGAAGTGGAAAATTTCACAAGAGAACAATTTATAAGTTTGGTTTTTGTTTTTGAGATAGAGTCTCTCTATATAGCCCTGACTGTTCTGGAACTTGCTATGTGAACCAGACTGGCCTCAAACTCGCAGAGATCCACCTGCTTCTGCCTCCTGAGTGCTGGGATTAAAGGCGTGCGCCCCCACATCCAGCCCAATTCAAAAATTTTAAGATGCAGATCTGAGTGGTGTGGTGAAATCCCTCCCTTGGTGTCCAGAATGAGATACAAAGTATTTCTGTGTCCAACATGTTAAGGTTGTACGTGCTACCCACCCATTAGTCACTCAGTGACTGTCATCAGATGACCAAAGCATCTATTTAGTACTCATGTTCCAGTAACTTGAAGTTAATAATGGCCTCAGTGTGGAGTAATGCTGATAATTCAGAAATCCCAAAGATAAGACAGAAAGTGCTTCCTTTAAGTGATGGGTGAAAATTCTGAAGTTAGTAAGAAAAGAAAACTACATGCTGAGTTTGTGAAGATTAGCAATAGGAGTGAAAAATGAAAAAAAAATTAATCCTAGTTTTACTGTCCTAAAACTCCACTTAGCATGTGCTGGCAACAGTGTGTTAAAGATGGATAGGCATGCCTGGCCAGCCAGAGTCACGTGGTGAGACCTTGTCTCAAAAACAAACAAACAAACAAAAGATGGAACAGGCATTATAAGAAAAACAGTATAGCAGGGTGGTGGTGGCACATGCCAACCTGGTCCAGGGTTACACAGAGAAACCCTATCTTCAAAAACAAAAAAAAAAAAGAAAGAAAGAAAGAAAAGAAAAAACAGTATATTATTATAGATTTCAGGTATCCATTGGGATCTTAGAACTTTTCCCCACAGATGAAAGTCACTGTACACAACCCACACAGAGTATGAAAATATCAATATGAACATACAAGAGCTGGTCTGCTACTGGTTAGATGAAATTGCTATTACTGTGCATGAATATACTAGTTTCCTAAAATCCGTGATGGTTTTATATTATTTTATTGAGATAGGATCTCACGATATAGCCCTGGCTGTCCTGGAACTGCTATGTAGACTAGGCTGGCTTTAAACTTGAACTCATTTAGATCCACCTGCCTCTGCCTCTCCATTGCAGGGCTTAAATGTATGCTCCACCAGTCCTGGTCCAGGATGGTTTTTGGTGGTTGGTTTTTGTAGTCTGCCAATCTTCAGTGAACGTGTCTGGTAAACATTCACTCTTTCACAGGAGAAACTTGATTTGGAGTCTTTGCTCTACCTTTCTCTTGTCATGTGGGTATGAGAATAGGGTTTTGTATGACAGCCCCTAACTTTCTTTTCATTGCTAATGATCCTCTCCCCCACCCCCACCCCCACCCCCAAGGAAATGCCTCTGGGTGCTACATCTTTCGTTTTTGTTTTGATTTTCAAGACTAGGTTTCTCTGTGTAGCCCTGGCTGTCCTAGAACTTGCTCTGTAGACCAGCCTGGCTTCAAACTCACAGAACTCCATCTGCCTCTGCCTCCCTAGTGCTGGGATTAAAGGTGTGCACCACCACTGCCTAGCTGGTTGCTACATCTTTTTGGATTTTTCTACAGAAATTTTCTGGGATGAAAAACATTGGTTGTTGAAAAGATCTTTATCTGGCATTTTTCTTCCTAGTAATTGCACATAGAGCATATAGTCCATGTTATTCTCTTAGGACATTTTACATTAAATAGTGTTGAACGTTTTTAACCTGACATAAAGAGCTGCTGGCCGGTATAGGTTTCAGTTTTATAAAAATATATCCATTTTTTAGGTAGCTGTGATTTCTTAGCATCCTTATTAGTTATGTATTTACCAACAAATGAAGTTTTTTTTTTTTTTTGTTTTTTTATCTTGGTGTTTTGTGGTGCAGAGTTGTAGCTTTGCCCTGGGTTTACTACATATTTATTTAGTTACTTGGTTTTAAGATGCTGGTAGCAACCCAGGCCCTAACACATGCTGGGCGATCTTGCTCTACCTCTGAGCTGTGCCACCAGGCTAGAATATGTGAGCACACTTTCAGCAGTTACGTTCTAGGTCACTAGTGTAGTTACTGGACACTGGAAGACATATTCAAAATATCTTCCATCTCCAGTATGTGTGTGTACATATGCTAGCCTTGAATTTACAGTCTTCTGATCCTCCTGCCTCTGCTTCCCAAGTGCTAGAGTTTTAGCTGTGTGTAATCATGTCTAGCTATCATGTCTGTTTTGGAAGATGGAGAACTCATTTCAGTAACTAATTACAAATCTTGAATTTTTCTATTTTTATTCTTTCTTTCCTCTTCTAGACAAGGAATACGTTATATCCAATCTGTGTAGCAATACAAAATGTTGTAAATTGTAGTAGTTACCACCCTAGTTTTGATTAGAGGTAAAATTAACTCATTTCTATATATTTTGTTGGTTTGTTTTTTGAGACAGTCTATTTAGCCCCAGCTGTTCTGGAACTCTCTATGTAGACCAGGCTGGCCTCAAAGTCACAGATCTGCCTGCCTCGGCCTCCCGAGTGCTGGGATTAAAGGTGTGCACTATCATGCCCAGCTGCTTTTTTGTATTTTTTCCCTTCTAAGTCTGGAATATAGTATATGAAGGATTGTAATATATAAGTAGAAATCAGCCTTTTAAATTAATGTTGGAGCTAGGTGGTGGTGGTGGCGGTGGTGGTGGTGGCGGCGGCGGCGGCGGCGGCGGCACATACACACCTTTAATCCTTTAGCCCTTGGGAAGCAGAGGCAGGCAGATCTCTGAGTTTGAGGCTAGCTCGCTCTACATAGTGAGTTCCAGGACAGCCAGAGCTACACAGAGAAACTGTGTCTTGAAAACCAAAACCTAATAATAAGAATAATGTTGGAAGAAAAGAGCAGTGATAAGAAACAGTCCTCACTAAGCCTGAGGTAGGTTTAGGGCTAGTTAAAGGTTCTGTCTTACTATACATACTTCACCAGACTTGCCTATTTTAATTCTCACAGTCATGATTCTTTTCTACTTATGTGGCTCTGCTTGAATACAACAGTATTCTGAGGTTCAGCTTAAGTCTTAAGTGTTAGGCTTTCATAAGCTTATACAATCTCACCTTGTGCATTCCTAGCTGTCAGTAATGTTTTTTCCTGGATTTTCTTCTCAGCAACCCGATAGCAGAAGGGTCAACTCTTCTGTTGGATTTTCTGTTTTGCAGCATACAAGCAATGACCCATATTGCTTTGTGGAATTTTATGAACACAGAGATGCAGCTGCTGCATTAGCTGCTATGAATGGGAGAAAAATTTTGGGAAAGGTAAGCTAATGGGATGATAGCATCCAGTAAATGTGTATGTTTGCATGTTAAATCAGTCTGTATTCTTTCTTAGTGGGATTTAAAATAGACAGTCGGCTACTGAGTGATCTCTATTCAGCCTAGTGCCTTTGCACAAATAATCCAACTTGATAAATGATTTATTAAGTGGTAAGTGTTAACAGTTCATAATGACATGCCTAATAATTGTATTAAATATAATCTTTGTTTTTAGGAGGTCAAAGTAAACTGGGCAACAACACCAAGTAGCCAGAAAAAAGACACTTCCAGTAAGTACTCCTGCAGCATTTCACTGTGGAAGCGTAAGTTAGCCTGGCAGCATTACCAGCTTACCTAAGGTTTTGTCCTCCTTTAGTGTTGCCTGATTTCTTAAGTATTTGATTACCAAATGCTTTGATTTCAGATCACTTCCATGTGTTTGTTGGGGATTTGAGTCCAGAAATTACAACAGAAGATATCAAATCAGCATTTGCCCCCTTTGGTAAAATATCGTAAGTATCATAATCAATGTCGGACTCAGTAGTGATAGGCAACACTGTACAATTAACTTGTAGTAGAATCAAGGTTTTCTTTCTCTAGTTAGTGTGTTTTTCTTTGGTTTGTACTTTTCTTGTTTTGGTTTGTTTTGTTTTTTGAGTAGATGTTGTTGCAAATGTTTATGTCATTTCAGTGTTTGGGGTCTTGTTTTCAGATAATCCTGTGTATAATATGTTTTAAAATTTTAAGTGATTCTGTTGGTTATATTTAAAGCAAATATTTGGATGTTAAAACTTCCAGCTTTTTGTCAAATGTTTTTAAATCTTAATGATTAAGAATATTGGGTTAATTAAAAACTAAGTTATTTATATTGTGTATTTAACTTTTATCAGAGTTTATAAGTGTGGGGGGGGAATCTAGGCAAATCCTTGAGTATGGTTATGGTTAAATTGGAAATGTTCATGTTTAAATATAATGATAAGTGTATTTTGATATTTAGCTTTGAGAAAAAGTGATACTATTGCAATATTAAAATGTTTTTTTTTTCTAGATAATAAATATGGGATTAATTTGACTTTTGTTAGTGATAATTCATTCTGTTAGGGAGGGGACAAATATGGGTTGATTTTTTTAAAAAATATATATGCTCAAATTTTGTTATTTGATTAAATATATTGGGAAATTAAAAGTGGTTGCAAGTTTTGTAAAATGTCAGTTTATTTTTGATTAAAATTAATTTATTATATATTTGTCAGTTTAAATTAAATGTATGACTACAGAAATGTTTTAAGAACAACAACTTTTTTATTAACTTAGATAACTTGTTGTTCTATAGATTTATTTTATTTGTTAATTAAAGAACATTTAATTCTTAATTTTCTGTTTTGATATTTGCTTTGCTTTTTAATCTAAATGTGGTAAGTAGTACTTTTGTAAAATTAGTATAAAATGATACAGGTTGCTGTTTTTGATCTTTATTTATACCTGAGACCTGCAGTTTTTCTACAGTCCAAGTCACAATTAAAAGTAATAGCATTCTGGTTATTTTGCAGAATTGCTCATAAGAATGGACAGGATCTTGAAGGCTAACTGCAAGGAACTGTGCACACTGGAACTCAGTTGTAGATTTTTTTCTCATTTCTATTTATTCTTATTATACATTATTTATATATACATATTTTAGTATTTACATCTTAACATTCTATATTCAGTGGAGTTCTATATTTCCAATCATTTTAACTTACTCACTAAAATTTCTGTGTAAATTTGTTGTTTTCGTACTGGTGTGCTTAGCGTTGTTGTTAGTTTTTTATTCTCCTTTCTTAAATTTCTGAAAATGTCAATTTTTCAAAATTTACAGCTGCCCAAACTCCAAAATGATGATAGAGAATTGACCAAGAAAAATAAAGAAATCTGTTAACAGGCCATGTATGCCTTTTTAATTCCTATTTTTTCCTCTTTTTCAATTTTTTAATATTTCATATATTTTGTATCACTAGGCAGAAGACATTTAACTATTTAGATATTGCATGGTAAAGTAGTTAGCATTGTTGCAGTAATTTATAGACTCAGTAAATCTTAGAGGACACTAGCAAATAGAATATTAGAAAAGGAAATTTGTTCCTATTAATCTTCAGATTTGAGTATCTAGTTAGAAAGCACAGGTTATATGATTAGGTTGCATGTTTATTACATGTTTTTGTCCTACTGCTTTTTTCTAACAGGTAAAGAAGCATTAGGGAGAGTTCAGGAATGGCTGTAGTTAATTAGGGCTAACTGGAGTTTATTTAAAATGCTCACAATACAGTGTGTGTGGTTCCTTTTAGTTTTTAATTCTGAGGGTGACTTTTACTTCCCTCATTTAGCTGTGCTTCTTTTCACAGGGATGCCCGGGTAGTTAAAGACATGGCAACTGGAAAGTCCAAAGGCTATGGTTTTGTATCTTTTTATAACAAACTGGTACGTCCTTTAAATTAACTCAATTAAAAATCCTCTATTCTCTATTTAGTTGCTTCATTAAAAGTAATGATTGAAACTTAATGTGCTTGAATGTTAACTTAGAAATATAACTTGTATTAATAATAGAAAATAATTATTTCATTAACTTGAAAATGTCTAGAAAAGGCTACGGTGATAACACAATGAAGGAAGATTATTAAAATGCATTTGTGCGTTGGTAAAGGCAGAGTGAATTAGAAGTAAAACCCAAGATCAATAGAAGTGAACCAATGTGAGAATTATGTTCAATATTAACAAGGAAAATCTTTATTTTAATCGTTTCATCAAAACCATATTTTCATAACAAATATTGTTACAGCAATTATGTACGTATGTTAGCCTCTTTTTACATTTTCTTTAGCAAGTATTATATTACCATAAAATTAAGGCACTTAAAAATGACCTTGTAAGATTTCTTTTTCTTTTTACTCATTTGTGTGTATTGGAGAAAAATGATTTTGGGGTGATGAATGGGATTATCTTCTTTTCTTTATATTAATGAAACATAGTTCTTAAATCTAAACGTTATACTGGTATTTTGAAACCCGTTAAGTAAAAAGCAGCTTTATGGTTCAAGTTGTTTTATTGATAACATCTTTGTGTTTTGTGGACTCACAGATGATGAGATGTATTGGATTTAGCAGTGCCAGTTTTCCTTTTGTCTTACTGGGTCTTCTGTATCTGTTTTTGTTTCTAATTGCTCTTCCTGTCTTTCTTCTTCTTTTTTCTCCATAGGATGCAGAAAATGCAATTGTGCATATGGGGGGTCAGTGGTTGGGAGGTCGACAGATCAGAACCAATTGGGCCACACGTAAACCACCTGCCCCTAAAAGTACACAAGAAAGTAAGTTAATCTGCATGTATGTTGCAAGTATAGATTCTGTTCACACCATGTAACATTGTCTTAATTTCATAATATTTAATTTATTTAGTGTAAGTTTTACCTTGAATCTCATTATATGAACTTTAGATATAAGTACCTTTGGGGTAAGAACCAGCTGGTTTATTTAGAGATGAGATCTATATTTAAGGCTGAGGCAGTAGCTGAGTTGGTAGGAGTGCTTCTGCTTGCCTAACATTCACGAGGCCCTGAGTTTAGTTTCCAGCATCATATAAACCAGATATAGAGGCTCATGCCTATAATCCCAGCACCTTGGGAGTGGAGGCAGAAACAGAAGTTCAAAGTCCTCTTCAGCATCATAGTGAGTTCGAGCCTAGCCTGGGATACCTGAAACCCTACCCCCAATCTATTGAGTGATAGCATGGAGAAAAATATTTTGTTCCTCCTACTGGGACGTATCTTAACTGTGTGTAGCGCTTAACTGGGAGTGGTAGTGCATGCCTTTAATCCCAGTACTCAGGAGGCAGAGGCTAGCCTAGTCCACATAGTTCCAGGATAGCCAGGGCTACATAGAGAGATCCTGTCTCAAAAAACCAAAAAAATAAAATTTTAGAAGTGGTATATAAGCACAAAAGATGTGTGTGGTGCTGGGGATTGAGTGTGGGACCTTGCACGTTAGGCAAACGTTCTGCGACAGAGCTTCAATGTCAGCTCAAAAACCAGTTTTATAACACTGTCTAACAGTCCGGACTGTGTTATTTTCTCCCTCTAGCTAACACTAAGCAGTTGAGATTTGAAGATGTAGTAAACCAGTCAAGTCCAAAAAATTGCACTGTGTACTGTGGAGGAATTGCTTCTGGGTTGACAGGTACAGTATTTAGTTTAAAATCACCTTCAGCACTCTTAGTATAAATATCATGGTTAGCATGAGCTTTAAATATTTTCTTTGTATATTTTTCTTTGTATAGATCAGCTTATGAGACAAACATTTTCACCATTTGGACAAATTATGGAAATTAGAGTTTTTCCTGAGAAGGGCTATTCATTTGTCAGGTAATACTCCAACTATAATATCCTTACTCGTACATCTGCTTTAGTCCTCTCACTTACACATTGGATCCTGACTAGATGTCAGTTTACCTGCATACTGGGATTTAAGAAAATGCCAGCTGAAAGGTGTTAACCCATGAGTTCTATATTATTTGCCCAAGTTCTTAAAGAATGAAGACAAAGCCTCATTGGGTTTTTTTTCCTCCTAGATTTTCAACTCACGAAAGTGCAGCCCATGCCATTGTTTCTGTGAATGGTACTACAATCGAAGGACATGTGGTTAAATGCTATTGGGGTAAAGAATCTCCTGATATGACTAAAAACTTCCAACAGGTAATTCCATTTTTCTTGGCACTTTTTAAGGTTTCCGTCTTACATACCTACATAGGAGCTTTGGAAATTGTAAAATAGACAGTAAAATGAAGCATATAGCTGCTTTCAGTTAATTGTGTAAATGCTATTTCAAAATTGTTGTGCGTATTAACTGAATCTTAATACTTTCTTTCCGCAGGTGTCACCACCCCAATAAACTTAGCCAATGATAAATAACAGAGTCCTATTCACATAAGGGTGCTTACTTAGTTTTTCTCTTCCTTGTCTCCCACTCTTTCTTCACATCCGGTGTTTCTTTTTTGTTCCCTGAGACAGTCCTTTGCTTTCTCCTAGGTTGACTACAGTCAGTGGGGCCAGTGGAGCCAAGTGTATGGAAACCCACAACAGTATGGGCAGTATATGGCTAATGGGTGGCAAGTGCCTCCCTATGGAGTATATGGACAGCCATGGAACCAACAAGGATTTGGAGTAGAGTGAGTTGTTTTGGTTATTCCATTGTAGAAACAGATGAGCTTTTGGGGAAAGAGAAATCTGTGCTCTCCTAGGGGAGAGAGTCTTCTGAAAGGATGTTATGTCAAGGCGTTTGGGTTATAGATGTGATGTAACAAATCTCAGAAAATATAATTTGTAACAACACTTCATTGCAGAGATGGGGACGCAGTCTAACTTCTCTAAGCAGCTGGTAGAGTGACTCATTTATAGTAGTAGCGCTTAGAGGGTCTTTGTCTAGATATGCTCAGAAAGAGGTTTTTATGTTTGTTTGGCCTATAGAAGATACCTTGGGAACCTGTATGACATAGTGCAGTTTGCTTTGTGTGATGTTGGTAGAGCTTCAGTTTTTCCTCTAGGCTGAGCTAGACCTTTATTTTCACAGGTTTATTGAGAATACTGCAGGAGTCAAGGGCTGTAACAAGAGTACTGCCTCCTAAGTCATTTATTTTTATAAGACAGGGTTTCATTCTAGCCCAAGGTGGCCTAGATCTCACCCACTCACAGCAGTCCTGTCCCAACCCTCCAGGTACTGGGATGCAGATAGGAGGCCTTATACCTGGCTCACTTATGATTACTGTTATTACTAGTATAATTATTATATCTTTATTTTTGAGATAGGGTCTCTTTGTGTAGCCCTGGCTGTCCTGGATGTTTTGAGACAATCTCACTATAACTCTAAGCCCTGGTTGGCCTATAACTCTATATAGACCAGGCTGGCCTCAAATTCACAAAGACCACCTGCTTCTGCCTCCCAAGCGCTGGGATTAAAGATGTGCACCACCATGCCAGCCCTCATTTATATTTATTTTTTAAAAACCAGCTTTTAGGTGGTCTGCAGACTTGAGGTAAGGTGTGATTATCTTAACAAAGCTGGACTGGAGTGTAGGGCACTGCATCGCATAAACAAGGCCCTGGGTGTGATCCCCACACAGCACGAAAATACAAAGCAGTGAAAAGCTGTAAGATTTAATGGTGGTGCATGTACTGTTTGTTGTAGATTTGTGGTTTGTCTTTGTGTTCTGTGGTTAGACTGCCTGGTTCTGTATAGCTGTGTAGATTATCTTTTTCTTGTGTTTGCTGAAGATTGTTTTCCCCACTTTCTTCCAAGTCAATCACCTTCTGCTGCTTGGATGGGTGGATTTGGTGCTCAGCCTCCTCAAGGACAAGCTCCTCCTCCTGTAATACCTCCTCCAAATCAAGCTGGGTATGGAATGGCAAGCTTCCCAACACAGTGAGCTGGGACTCTAAACACAGTTGTAACTCACCATAAGCTGCAGTTTCCTGTGACATTCTGAAGACATGAAAAGTAAACATCGGAAAGTGAAAATATTTATTTTAAAGATTGAAATGTTTGGAACCTTTAGCACAGCCTTGCTTGGTGAAGGACACGTGTCTTCTAGTTCTGCCTTTTTAAGGTTTTGTTCATGATGGATATGAACATGATTTTTCTTTGTGTACAAAACAAAAATAAAGTCAATAAAGACAATTCTGACTATAAATTTTGATATAATAGGAGAAATGGGTAATACGTTTTGATTCTTAGACACTATTCCGTTTTTATCTTGCTGTTCAGTATTTTAACTCACTGTGTTTTTAAAAGTGCAAAAAAGGGAGTATCGTGAAACTGAGAATCACATCAGTTCGTCCTGAATTCTGATACTCCCCTCCCATCCCTGAGGTGGACCACATTGAAGTCAGCAGGCAAAGTGTGATTTCAGAAGAAATACATGATATGGGAATCGCTGTGGAAGAAATACTTATTTCTCTCTCTGTTAAAGAAACGAAAGCCAGACTGGAAGCTTGCAGCCTAAATAAGGAACAGCGTCTTGAGCGAGTGTTGGTGTCCACAGTAATACATATTTTTAAAACTTTCAAAGTGTTGGTTATCAAAAATGTAGTATATTACATTTCATTTTGGGGCAAAATTCCAAGTATGGTGTTTATATTAAAGTCAGACAGTCATACTTGTCTTTTACATGGAGTTCAAATGATAAACATTGTAAATATTGAATAACTACAGTGTTTCAAAAGCATGCTTCAACATAGAAGTAGCAGCAATGTAATTATTCGAGGTGACAAGTAACACAGTCTCACTGCAGTGAGTGCAGTGCTCAGTAACAATGTTTAAGGGACATTTTCAAGTTGGCCATGTAAAATTAAAATGACACAAACGACTACACAGAAGAAGCCTTAATTTAATTTCATACGATCTTTGATGCATTAGTGTATTCTAAATTGTAAGTGGAAGTAAGTTAGATTTGGGCTTTTGTTTTTTTTTTTCTTTATTTGGTACAAAATTATTTGATTAAAACCCAGTGATATGATTTCAAGTTTCCTATAAGTTGTATAGCACAATTTTTTTTTTTTAAATCTTGAGATGTTTTTAAAAATTAGATACATTTTGCCCAAGAATTTTTTTTAACAAGATTGCTAAAATATCTTATTTAGACAGCTTGATGTACCAATTTATAATTGGATATTCAATTTAAGTCATACACAAAGTTGTGACTTTTATTTCTAATTTGTTCTTTTTCCCTGTGGGGAGTGTGTGGGTGACAAGCCTGAACAGGCCTGAGTTGTATGTGTGCAGTTTGTAAATGAATCTGTTGGGAAGATGCGGGAGTTCGGGTGTGCTCCCACAGCGTTTTTCAGTCTGTGTGGATACAGTCTGCCTCATATTTCTATAACACAGGAATGTCAAATAGGTACAATCCTATGTGTTTCAATTGTGACAGCTAGGGGGTGCAGATGTTCTGGCAGTGTATTAACCTGTTGGCCCGTGTGTGCACAAGCGCGAACAACCCCTAACAGTTCAGTGGGAAGGTGGGTAAGATGCAGCTGGTGTCCGAACTCAGCCATTGGAGTCTAAAGATTAAGATAATGTGGTTTTATATATTGATGACCACAAAAATTCAGGTGTTTATTTCCTCCTTCACTTAGGAATACAGCCAAATGTATTCAGCATAAAAATTTACAGGGTCTGAAGTTTATTTTTGAGCCAAAATCTTATGTACCTTAGTTTTTTTTTCAGACCACAATGGCCCTGTGTTATACTCATTTATCACTAAATATACCCCCTTCTTTTGATCATCCTACCTTTGGGGGATGATCTGGAAAAGGTACTTTATATTTTATAAGAAGAAAACAAGAAGTTGTATTCTGCCCCTGAGTTAAGATTTTCATTAACCGTTGTGAAACTCAAACATCCTAAAGATTTTCTAAGTCGATAAATTGATAAGAGCTTATTAAATTAAAATTTCAGTTTGCCTTTTTTTCCCCTCTGCCAGTAAATGAAGTGGCTTATTGAGATAACCAATGGCTAACTCTAGCTGTAGTCTTTTCTGTTATATAGTCTATGATTT